TACGTAGCATTGCACGTGTCTGGTGGGGTAACCGGACTAGCAATGCTGAGGTCAGGCGTAGGGTTTTAGGTAGTCGCGGTCCTCCACTAGAGCAAGTGATCGACCAAAGATTACGCTGGTTGGGACATGTGCTACTCATGTCACCAGATAGGTTACCATGGCGAACGATGTTTGCCAAGGCTGGTAGCGATTGGAAAATACGAAGGGCGGTCAAGCTAAGACCTGGCACGAGGGTATGAAAACCCTAACCAGGAGACTGGATCACATAGGTCCTGATAGTCTCCCTGGCTGAGGACCTCGGAATGATGGTCACCGATGGTTAGCTTCACTGAGTGATATGGCTGGGTGTCGCAAAGAGTGATGCTCGTGCATCCACTCGTTATTTTCCTAACACCACTCTATATGAATTCTCCATCTTCCGCTTGAATTGGCTTCGACATTCCAGTCTTCATTTTGCTCTTTTATCCAAAACCGGCGCACGAAAGTCCATGTTTAATGGTTGTAAATACTGAACTGGTTCAATGCTATGCCTAGCCTGGTGGTGGCGGTTCGCTATCCCAAGTCCCGGGGCTTAGATTACAGCAGATTTTCCTGACTGTGGTTCGCTCCATCGTCTGCTGTTCTTCACACACATGTGCAATAAAAATTTCTGGGGGAACTACTTGTTACGAAATTAAAACCAACTTAGACCGATTTCAGCTTTGCGCGCAATCCTCAGTGCTTCCAGTTAGCAATACACTTAGAAAACACTAAACTCGAGTTTAGCTCTTCTACCACTCTCTGCCATATTTATACCTCTTGGGTTCTCACGCTAATCTACTTGGTCAACGTGGGAAATGTTTTTTCGACACAGGATAATTTTGCAGTCGTAATCACACTAATTTTATCATGTATTTTTCTCTGTTCATTTCCCCCTGATTAATACAATGATCATCAGCAAGTAGGTTAGCGCGAGTACCCAAAGTGGGTGTACGAAGGAGCATAGACTTCTGTGCTCACAACCTCCCATGTTTCCCATTATGCTGTTTCAATTGATTCAGTAATTGTTCAGATTTCTTTCGTGTGTGAAGTTGAAGAATTTTTCATAAAATCCGATTTTGAAAATCTCACCAGTCTTGGTGGTAGTCAAACTCTCACATACACGCCGCCTACTCCGTGCCAACTTAGTTGCGGTGGCACACCCAGCCCTTTTATCTTTTCACATTTGGTTACCCTCCGGATTTGCAGGGCACGTAAACACCAAGTAGCATGAAAGCTAGCTCCACGGCCTGGGTTCGAATCTCACCGAGGTTCGTGGACCGTTCCCAGACTTTGTCTAATGGTCCTCAGCGATTTTAAGGAGTTTCTATGGTGACATATAGGTCAACTGGTACCTGGCGTATCCATATGCCCTGTAAGTAGCCGAATGTGAAAAGATGTCAAAGAGCTAAATGCACACCGTACAGCGACCTAAATGGTGTCCGTGTATGGGTTCAAATTTCACCGAGGCTCTTGTCATTTTCATCGTTAGGTCATATGAAAATATTCCGTAGTTGTCAAAATGATTCAACATTATGTCACTATAATTCTGAGTTGCTGTGCGATTGGTTGGTCGGAGAATCATTTTGATTATTGGAATCGAGCGCGCAAACCTACCACCTTATTCTATGTCACTCTCTCGTAAGTCATACATCAGCCCGATACGCGTAAACACCAGGGCATGCACGTGGACCGTGTTTGTCGTATACACCGCCTAGAGAGCTGCCGCAGCTATCCGCATGGCTACTGGATAGGTTCAGTTTTTACAACCATTGACCATGCACTTTCGTGTGCTGGTTGTGGTTGCTGTCTTTTGGTGCCCCATTTGGATAAAGCAGCAGGATAACGATTGGAATGTTGAAAACAAATTCAAGCGGACGATGGAGAATTCATATAGAATGTGTTAGGGAAGTAGTGAGTGGATGCACGAGCGCCACTGTTTGCGACGTCATATCACTCTAACCATCGGTGACCATCATTCCGAGGTCCCCAGCCACGGAGTCTAAGGGGGCCTATGTGACCTAGTCTCCTGATTAGGGCTTTCATACCCTCATGNCCCTCATGTCAGGTCTTCGTTTGACCACCCTTGACCCTTTTCCAACCGCTACCTGCCTCGGCAAACATCTCTCTCCGTGGCAACCTATTTGGTGATGTGCGTAAAACATGCCTCAACCAACATAATCTATGGAGGTCGATCAATTGCTCTAGTGGACGATCTTGGCATTGCTAGTTCGGTTACCCCACCAGACATGTGCGATGCTACGTAGACAGCGGTGTTCGAATATCGATAATCTATTTTCAACCTGTTCCGGTAGCGATCAAGTCTTTACACCGTAGAGCAGTACTGACCGAACTGCTGCATGATATACTGGACGTTTGACAGACAATCGGTTATTGGGTCAAAATTCAGTGGTCGATACCTTGCTTGAAACAAACGGATTAATCGGCTCTTGTGGCATGCATACCACAGCGCTCTAGTTCTATCCGCACAGGCAAAACCAAACCTCAGTAGGAAGCTGAACTTCTAAGTCACTGTGTTCACACATAGAAGCATGCCAACAACGGGAGAGAAATTCGGCGAGGTGTGATTATCGATTGAAGTATCAATGGGATGCATTCTGGTTTACCTCTCTATTGAGAACCGGAATGTGTATAGCGCTACAACGAACTCGAAGTGGGGGAAAATCGACAGTGTTTTTACTAATCAACCCAAACCTCTTGCGCCCGTCTGTTTCTCAAATATTACCGCATTAATCGCATCAGTGGAGTGTATTCACTTATGCCCGATTAGAACAATAATGATGATGTCCTTTGATAATTATGACACATATAGCCAACTAGTAATTCAGATCATTACTGTTTCATTATGAACTGAATCGTTTTGCTCTCATTCTCCTTTTGGAGCGCCAATCCTATTGTCTGTTTGTGTACCTGTATAGCTCGTGTTGTTTCACCCGCAATGTCTGTGATTCGAATGGACAACCTCTAAACTAGTTTTTTGCTTGTGTTTCACAACACTACCATGCATAATTCTCTATTCGGTCTCCTTGTTCGTTTCTTCTAGATCTGGAGATCATAGTGGTCACAACTGGATTCATCAATGCGCGCACCTTCATTCATTCACTTAGTCAGAACGTATCCCCGGTCCCACTGACTGTTATCTAGCCCCGTTCATTTCTCAAACTGATTTCTGATTTTGTAATCAATGATTTCGCTTATTTGATTAGGTCTCATTCCCAACATACAAACACACATGCGTCTTGTTTTTTTTTTCTCGTTCATTCGTTACAGGCTCCATTCGGTTCAGGGAAAATGAATTATTGGTATTCGCAGAAAATAGTGGTTCTTATACTCGTCTCTCAGTTTGTTGTACAGCCTTATTTTTCTTCAGTTTTCAAATTGAGGAGGTTCTATAGCATACTTTGTTCGGTCTCACAGCCAGCGGAGTTGAACTCCTCTCAGGGACCAGAGGTTTTTACTTATGATATGCCGATGGCCATCGCCTTTCAGAACGGCAATGTACAGACATTCGAACCTGCGTAGAATCGCTTGGCAATCGGGATATCCAACTAGTGTGCTTGACATCATACGAATGGCTAGCAGGATCATGTCCCTGCGCTCACCTTTTGTGGTGATCAGCCAGAAATATTCGAAAGCCTCAAAACCTTTGGGAGTTAGGCGAAAACTGGAGATGGTGTTAAGGAGGGAATCACATCATAAACAGCTTGCCCCAGTCAGTAACAGCACCGAAACAGTCAACTTTTTCTCAAGAGAAGGGTGTATATTGTCGTTGTTCGTAGTGCTTTACTTTATGGCTGCGCTAGTAACCTCTTCTC